AGTTATGAACTGTTTCTGAGAGACAACTAACACCAGGATCCTTTTTTACATAGCTGACAGCTGGTAACTGTGCAGGGGCGGCTCTAGCACAGTTTTGTCGGGGGCCAGGTAGGGCATTAACAGGGAGAGGGGGGCACAAAGACATACTTTTCTTTGTTATGTCATTTAAAAACTTTGAATAAATAATTATCTGAATCTTACAACAAAAGAGGTCATCTGATTAAATGTATAGAAATCCATTACTGTATATAGTAACTAATAAGTCTAATATACACCCTAGTAAGCTATAGTACTTTTTCCTTTGGTACCATCTGTGCAGTCTGCAATTCTGTTGAAGAAAGATGTTGAATCTATTTAATTATTGTAGAAAAATAATTGATTTCTGTGCATTTGTTTTACATTTGCATTAAATTAAAGTTGATTACATCGATTAAGGGCGGGGGGTGGTTCCCTAATATTTTTGCTGGGAGTTTGCAACCCTATTAGTTAGGTAGGTAACTACTCTTTAAAATACCAGAATAGGGAGGATGGTGTAGGTTTAAATTTATTAGATTGATCAGTGTTGCTAAACTATAAAATGTTTTGTGTGTAGTGTATTTTTTGCATACGGGTATAACAGAATAGCTTCGGTCGTGTGTTTTTTAAAACTTAAGTATGAACTTATACAAAATGCAGCGAGATATTTATAAAAAACAGTTTTATTGATTACAAAATACGCTATATCGGCTTCATATCGGTATCGGCAGATATTCAAATTTATGATATCAGAATCGGTATCGGACATTAAAAAGTGGTATCGTGCCATCTCTAGTTTAAATCTGGGACTCTCCACCATTTGACCCTAGAATGAAGAAGCTTCTCGGATGAGAGGTGAAAAGTCCAGTCGCTTTTCTTTCCAAGCTCCTTACACAAGGCTGTGTGATGAGTTTAAGAGGTCCAGTAAGACACTCCTGAGTTCAGATTATTTTGTAAGTTTTGTTTACATTCAGCTTTTATCACCAGAGGCCATTTTCAGTGGTTAAATACTCTTGCCTCATCAGTTTAATGCATGGAGGCATTCGGTCGTTGAATCTTTAGAAATGGATTTCTGAACATGCATCAACTTCAGAGAGGGACCGTTAACTCTCGTGGTTTCACAACAATGTATGCATTTACAAGGATGTGCCACAAAGAGAGCATAAACAATTATGAAGGATGAAAAATAACCTAAAACCAACCACATGAAACAAGAAAACACGAGAGAACCACAAAGACCGACCATAAAAAAACAGACAATGACCATGCAGAGACAAAACATTCACATAAATACGATTAACTAAAAATCACCAAAGAAACCAAACACAGCAAAGAGGAGACCAGAGATTACAGTGAAGTATATCCGAAATATATCAGCTGTGCATTACTGTGTGGCTGGATTCTAATGTTTCAGCAGCTGAATGTAATGTTGGCGTTTTCAGACTGAAATCATATTTCATAAATTATTCATGGACAACTTTTAAATAAACATGTAGCTACACACGAATTCAAAGGGATGTAAAAAAAATCTGTTTTTCTGTTAACTCATTCACTGCCATTGACGTCTATAGCCGTCAATGGCAGTGAATGAGTCAATGGGTTTAACTCATTCACTGCCAATGGCTGGCAGTGAATGAGTTAAAAATGTGGTCAAGTGTAAAAGAGCGTTATATAGTAACGTACATGGAATTATTATTATTATTATTATTATTGTCCAGCGCTCTGTGAGTTCTTACACCCGTCTCTGAGTTTGACCCAAACATGCCGCTGACGGATGAAGACAGATTCCAGCTGCGGTAAAGCGAACAATAGCCAGGACGTGTGACCATAAATCAGTGAGCTGAGCGAAGAGAAACCTGATTAAATACCAGCAGGAAGACAGTGAAAGATTCAGGAGCAGATGAAGTCAGAGCGTCCTGGTTAAAACGCCATTATGTCCACATTAGGTTAACACCTGTCTGCGATTCCTCGGGCGATTTCCTACACTCTGTAATTAGAGGCTCTGTAACCTTGTTACATTACATTATAGCTACACTTTACCTGCAGCGAGGCACTTACTGCAGCCTCACAATGGATGGATGGATGGATGGATGGATGGATGTCCTCGGTCCTGCTAGAGTGAGCACCACATGAGAAGCAACCGTTTGGATATTTACACCTGTGCTGCCTTTGTTTCCCCTGCAGCATCTGCTGCCTGCTCCACTCTGTGTGTAGAGGACGGCCACACAAAGGCTCAGAAATATAAGGAGGGTGTACACTGAGGGAATATCAATCACAATCCAAACTGGAAGCAGCATTTTCTGTCTGAAGTGCATCTGACCTATTAAAAGTGGCTTAAAATATACACAACAGTTTAGTACTGATGTGACCATGTGACACATGTTTAACCAGATTTCCCCACATAAAAGCAGCCTGACACGTCGTCAGCTCAGACTGATGACTGCAAAAGTCAAAACACAGAAGATGAAGAGGAAATGTGTCTGCGAGTTAACCCAGCAGGGATACTATTACAAGGAATAACTGAGCATAATTTTTTAAAAGCAACACAGTATGGCCTTAAAGCCTCACATTATTAGACTGCAGTATATATACTGATGGATTTTTGTGTTCCCTTTAAAGACATCAGTGAAAAAAAGAACAAATTGGTGCAGAAACACAAGTTATGAAGTGTCAGGTTCAAACGTTTTTTGTGGGGGAATCCTCACCAGACATGCCGTATAATATCCAGCTCTAGTCGTCACATGACGCCAAGTCTCAGCCCTCAGACAGGTCTTTGAAAGAGTGTCACGATAAACTGTTGTGTGGTGTGTTTGGGGGACGGCTGTAAATTGTAGCTCCAAAAACACGAGTTACACTCAGCTCAAACTGGCGGTGATGGAGTGAAAATGAAAACAGTGCTGCAGACACCTTCATCCTCACAACCTTTACTTGTTGCTAAGCGATATTAATACAATTCTTGGCAACTAAACAGGACTGAATTATGTTTTCCTGGCGGTCATGTTACCTTGGTATTGTTAAAAAACATCTTAAATCACAGCAGGAAGATTTGGGAGACGCTGATAGCATCACAGCACTTTCCACAATTTTGGGGGTTTGATGTGAACTTTGTAATTTACTCATCTGTTGTCTGATTTCATTGTGTAGCTTCTTTTTGTTGTGAAAGTATGCGCGCTGTGTGGGTGTTTGCACCGGGAGTACAGTAAATGAGCACGTGTGGGAGTTCTGGCTGCATCGATATATGGTTTTTTTGTTTTTTTTAAACTTGATGGAGAAAGTTGCAAGAAACCATGAGGTCAGAAGAACCGTTTTAAATCTTCTGCTTCTTGCACAGAAACACTTTGAAAATGTGCAAACTGTGGTTACGCTTAGATTAAGTCTGGCTCTCAGCCAGTGCTCGTTGTGTTTTGTGGTCAACATGAAAATGTCTCTATGTACTTACATATTAGTTTCTGCCCCCCTGGTCTTAAAAGTGCATTTAGAGCAGCAGGTGGAGTTAGAGGAGCTAGAATTTTAAAAAGAAGCTCAAACGTTTGGAGCAGAAAATAAAGCTGAGACTCTTCTTTGTTACACGCTCTTCATGGGGGGTTTGACGAGTGCTGACTCAGCTTGAGATAAAGACGACAAAGATTAAGGGCGAGAGATGAGTCATGATTCAGTCAGATGCACATTAACTGTCAAACGATCACAGCTTCCATTAAAATGTTGTGTCTGTCATCAAAGGGGTCGTATTCAGCTAATTTCCAGCCCCAAGAATAGCTCTGAGTGATCGCACTTCAAAATAATCCTTGTTTATGTCATGGTGAAACTTCCAGTTCATCCTCTGTCTGAAACCAGACGATTTAGCTCCTCCCAGCTTGTTTCTGATTGGTCGCTCATCACAAACTGAAGGTTTTAGGGAATATATTATTTTCTATCCCCATCCATAATGTCCAGGATGGACATGGGTGGAGATGTCCACTCTTTATGACATCACAAAGACCCAAGAGCAGAAAAAACTGTGTGAATCTGAGTGTTTAGCACAGTCTGAAGCCTGGAACATGTGACTCATAGAAGGAAGGAGGAGAAGGATAAACTGTGCAGCCTGAACTGCATAGGTTTCCTCTACCTGTACATGACGTATAGATGCAAGAACAAGAATAAAACTTGATCGTCTGAGTGAGTGATAGTAGAACAGAGGGGCATTATTTATCATTGTTAGTGATACTGAATCGCAGTACTTACTCCTCACTAGAAGGCTGCGGTTGCCGAATATAAAGCAGCTCTCATGTAACTGAATCTGGACCGTAAAGATCGCGTGTACTCAGAAAACCATGCGTCGATAAATTCCCTTTGAAAAAAAAACATTGAGAAATGCCTCTGAGCTTCGGCCCAGCAGAACCACGGCAGAAAACGCCGATTTAAGTTAGGAAACGTCACTTTGAATTGGCTTTTCCACCTCTGATGTCTTTTCCTTTTAAGATGATTACATTTTAATGCTTCTTTTCTCTCGCGGCCTCACTCATGTGTCTTACTGACAGATTCACATGTGAGACAAGAATCAAGAGGGGGGGATAATGAGAAGTCTTCACAGAAACTGCTGCAGATCTGTGTTTGTGTCCTGTGGAGATTTAATTCAAAGCTGAATTGATTTTTATGTCTGAGCACAGCTTGGCTGTTTGGGTTTTATCCATATACGTTCACAGTTTTTGAAATTAACCAGCAATTTTATCACAAATGACTTACACAAAGGGAAACTGTTGCAGCAGAGACATGCAGGGATGCGGTGAAAGGAAATGAATGGTGACAGATGGTTGAGTATACTGGCATGATGTGGTAAATATGTTGGAAAGGGTATGTTTACAGGACTCAGGCTAACACACTGATAGATCAGACTCACAGTTTCCTTTTTATCCTTTTAATAATGTAACCACAAAATTAAATGTCTCTAAAAAGTGTCACAGCGGTGTTTTTCAGTTTGTGTTCATTTCATTGTCTTTGTGTCTCAGCTGATCTAACCATGGGGAAGGAGAGTCTGCCCAGCTGGGCTCACCAGGACTCTGACGAGGGTCTCGTCCACGTGAACGTCGGAGGTCTGAAGAGGAGCCTCTGTTCCAGCACGCTGAAGAAATTCCCAGACACCAGACTGGGAAAGCTGCTGGCATGTGACTCAGAGGAGGCCATACTGCAGGTGTTTGGGTGTGAGCGGGATACGACTGACACGAGACCTGATGGATTTTTGCTTGACTTGCTAAAAGCCCACCTGCTTCTCTTCTTCTTCACTCTTCCTCTGTCGTATTCCCACCTTTCGTGCTATAGGTGTGTGATGACTATGATGTGCAGGAGAAGGAGTTTTACTTTGATAGGAATCCCGGCCTGTTCCCTTACGTCATCCACTTCTACCAAACTGGCAAACTTCACATCATGGAGGAGCTGTGCGTCTTCTCCTTCAGGTCTGTCTGAGCAACATTCATTTTAACATCCTCATCCCTCTGCATCCCAGAGAACCTTTACACCTGTCATACCAATCCAGCTGTAACTGATTGTGGACGTTTGTGACTCAAACAAAGGTTTTAGTCTGTTCAGTTTTTCTTGGTTTATCTGACCTGTAATCAGACACAGCAGCTGCTAACAGACTTCACTGTTCATTGTTGCTTTGCATAAAAACTTTAAAGCCTAAAAACATAAACAGTAAAATGAATTCATCAACTCAATCGTGTAAAATTTAAGCAGCTGATCCTTTAAAAAAGTCACAAACCCAAACTACTAAGACTAAGTTGTAACATCTCACCTCTTATTCATGATCTCACACACTGAAGCACTGCTGTTGTGCACAAATGTGACATCATCTACAGTCACTGAGGGTGCAGCGCTGGTGGTGGAGGCTTTGATTGGTCCCGTGTCCTGGACATGAACGCAAAGACTGAGCTCCACGGTTGGATTGTTTTTGTTTTACTTTTCTTTAACTTTTCTTAAACTGAAGTTTGCTCAAAAAGCCTGTTTGGTTACCTTCAGGAACACATCCTGGTTTTCACACCAAAGCAAATCTGCAAATCCTGTAGTGGATCTTCAGGTGTGTCAGTGTTATATTTGTGCTGGAAAGAACAAGCAGAGATTTAACGTGAATTAGGCCTTTGGCCTGCTTGCATATGTCCTTTGTTTATGCAGCATAATTATAGGAGTCATGGATCCATTTAGTGCACCAATAACATTGGAAGCAGATGAAGAAAAAAACACATGGAAATCATTTTATTTTGATGTAGTTTGCACTTTTCTTTAAATACTGCATAGATAACCCTGATTTGGCTTCTATTCCCTGAACAGCCAGGAGATCGAGTACTGGGGCATCAATGAGTTCTTCCTGGACAGTTGCTGTAGTTACCGTTACCACGACCGCAAACTGGAGAGCAGCCGACATCGTAGCTGGGACGATGAGAGCGACGCCAGCAGTGTAGACACATCTGTGGACGAGATATCCGACTTAAACAAGTAAAAGACACACAGCTGCACTTTCTTTCTCCTTTTTTAAAATAAATTATTAACTCGCTGCCTTTTTCCACCCTCGCAGAGACATGCAGCACTTCCAGGAAGTGCGTTATGGGAACATCAGGAAGTGTTTGTGGTTGACGCTGGAGAACCCGGGATACTCCATCCCCAGCAAGCTCTTCAGTCTGCTCTCCATCGGAGTGGTGCTCACATCCATCTCCACCATGTGTATCAACAGCATGCCAGAGTATCAGGTGGGTACGGCGAGCTGGAAACGTGGAGACCAAACAACACGGTTCAGTCAGCTTTCAGCAGGAAGCATCTGTTGGCTTCATCGGGCTGATTTAGGCTCACGTGAAGACAATTCGAGTATTTAACCCTTTTCATCCACAGTTTCATTAAAACAGTTTGTTTGCTCTCAGAGTCAAACTCAGTGAAATCAAATAGACAAAATAATTTTGTGTGACTTACACTCGTCTAATGTTACCAAAGACGTCTTTCACAAAGAGCCTTAAATCCGCTCTGAGAAAGACAGAAAAACATGCTTGAAGCAACCTTATGAACTGAAAACAAAGTAAAAAACAGATAATTGTTTGCATCCAAACAGAGTGATGCTAAAAACCAAAGTACCCGGGTCCAGGTCACAGGGACAGCGATGTCCTGGCCAGCTCTCCCAGCTTTTTAAGGAAGTAAACTGAGATATAATCTCTCCAGTGTGTCCTTTAACTGCTCAGACAGTCTGCAGAGGACGTTCATTTCCTTCGTTTGTGACCTCACTCTTTCAGTAAGTGGCCAAAGGTGATGGTGGGAAACGAAATGATCCAGTAAATCGACAGCTTGGACACGCAGCTCTCTGTGCTTTAGATTTTTCTCGATTAAGTCCCAAAACACACGAACAACTATTTACATAAAGATAATTACAGAAGAATAAAGTACCAATAAAATGATTTAATCAGTCAGATAGATTGACCCTGTTTTACTTGTGTTTTATTTAAACTCTTGATGCCTTATTGAGTCTATTTTTTAACACGTTTTTATCCTTAGTCCACCTTATATCATCACTTTTCCATTTATTACAACAGATCGTTTCTGTTTAGCCACCATGTGTCTGTTTCTCTTTTCTTTGGCCCTAAGATCAGCGTTCATGCTGAACTGAGCATTCTACCTTTGATGTCTGTTAAAGCAAATCCTGTCGTTGAAAAGATACATGAATAAAAATTTCTGTTTGTAATTATTTCAAAATAAAAATATCTAATGGGCTCTCAAATTTTAATACATTTGAAATCACTAAATGTTTAATTGAAAACACTTTTAGAAACTGTCCTCTGTCCTTTTTGTCTCCCAGACTTTTGATTCTGATGGAAAGTTGATTGAAGAGCCGACCATGCAGGCGCTGGAGGTGTTCTGCTCCTGCTGGTTCACCTTCGAGGTGAGGTGATTAAAACTAAGCCTGCTGTGAACTGTTTTACTGTGCACTAAAAACTCACTGGGTCTAATATTTAAGGTTGTGTATAAGGGCATTTCCCATGCATGTCAATGAGAAGGAAAAAAGTAATAAACTTAACTGTGTATCAGTTAAGCAAACAATAAAGATAATATGCTTTAAAATGATCATAAATATGTATCTCACGCTGGAGATTTATCAAAGGGAAGATGAAACACAGCACAGAGTTTAATGTCTTTGCAGGGATGAAGGAAAAGGCACTTTAAATACTCCTGAAAGATAGCAACGTGCTACACGGTGAAGGCAGGAAACACAGAACAGAGAGGATCACTCTGAAAATATACGGAGCAGGAAGTGAAAAAAAAACAGAGAAACAGGTCGCGAAGGAAGACACGGGGACAACTTCACAAAGACTAACAGAGTAAATACAGCAGAGAGAGAAAGGTACACAAGGAGGGAATTAAACTTATGGAAGCCAAGTGAGGAAATACCCTTCAAAATAAAACAGGAAGAACGTCAGTTTGAGGTTTGAGCCCACGTTCCTTTACTGTGTATCTTTCCCCGCTCTCTCTCCCCTCTTTACTGCTGTCCCGTCAAATAAATCTTTAAAATAAAGAAGGAAGTAAAATGAAAGGAAGACAAAGGACATCACACAAAGACGCGGGGAACTCACGAGACAAAGAAAAAACCCCTCAAAGAATGCAAAGTCAGACCATGATGAGCTGTTACATACTTCATTCAATTGGTTTGACTTGCATCAGTTTAATTTTATTACTTTGTTTAGACCAAACACAAATTCCAGGCACAGTTAAAATACCTAAACTTAAATATTAGGCCCAAATATGTCAGTGCTGATAGAGACGCTGAACACAGAGGACAGTGACAAACGCTGAGTGTTTGTGATCTCTTTGAGGTCGTCACGCGGCTGCTGCTCGCACCAAACAGGAAGAAGTTCTTCCATCACCCTCTGAACATTATTGACATGGTGTCTGTGGTTCCCATCTACGTCACTCTGCTCTTTGACATGACTCTGGGATCCGAGTCTGAGCTGGGCAACCTGGGACGACTCATACAGGTCTGTGCTGTGGATGTGGACCGCATGCTGCTCTGGTAAAAATGTAACGAAGGAGTCGTCACATTTGTCATAATCGCTCAGTAAAGGCTGTGATAGTTTGTATTTATGGTGACAGTGTCTGATATGCAGTATAAATCTCATCAGTCCCATCAAAGAGCTCACTGTTAATATTACATGCACCATCTGTGGAGGTTCTGCTAGCCTCAAACTGTAACGCTGAGACAGTATTAATAACTGCAGACCATGTAGAGTGAGCTCACACAAGCAACAACAACCAGTTCTTGGACCACACTCATTTTATATTACACACGATGAAGAGAAATCATAAAGGAAGTCAATGTAAGAGTGTATGCTTGCTCACAGGTCTTAATGTCACACTTAAGATTCTCCTGTAGCAGGAGGAAACTAAGGCTTATGGATTGTAGCTCCATTAGTCTGATATATTTCCAGGTCCTGAATGACAGTCTAGCATTTCATGGATCTGTGCGGCTAATTAGTGCACAACTATGATACATGTGTAACTGGAGCTATTTCTCTATCAATATTTCTAAAATGACAAACAGATTCAAATGCCACAACACAAAACCTGCTCTTTATAACAACGACGTTCAGTTCATTTTAAATTTAAAACATCGGGGTCAGGGATTTTTTTAGGGTTTCGTTTCACATTTGAGTAACTTTTTGTCATTCACAGTTCAAAACAGTTATATTTAATGAGGCGCCTCCGTTCACCCACTGTTCAACCCTTTATCACACCAGTATCATACTGGGCCTGGGCTTATTTTATCATTGTGGCTGTAAAATTATAAAATGATTCTCATCTTTCAGGAACCATTTTTTCTGTAGCCCAGTGTGGTTGAGGAGTTACAGTAATGTGAAGCTGATTTTTCCATGAATGCTTTGTGCTTATCTCCCTAAAGCTCGTCTTCTCTTCTTTCTGTCATTTAAAGAGCACTAAAAATAAAATGGGCCTGCTGCTGAGCTAATGCTAGGGTCTTCAACACCAACATGTCGTTGATGCAACTTCCTTCCGATTGGCTGTTCCTCGCAAACAAAAGCTTAGAGCTCATGGTGGGTGTGGCTTCTGTGCTCATTAGAAAAAACCCCGTCTGAAGCTCGCGGCGATTACGCGTCCGTACACTGACCCCGTTATTTGAAGCTTCGTGACTCCACCGTTGGATCAGTGTAGTGAATGTCTGCAGCTGCTGCCGTGCAGCCAGAGTTCGACTCTTTTTAAAGATTCAGACTCATAGTCCACTCTGTGTCCTCTCAGGTGTTCAGGTTAATGAGGATCTTCAGAGTGTTAAAGTTGGCGCGACACTCGACAGGCCTGCGATCACTGGGAGCAACACTGCGGGTGAGTGGGGACTCTGTCTGCTCGCACAGACACACAAAGTTTTGTAATGTGTGGATCCCATACACACAGCGACATTAACCAGCCGTACAAACAACGTGACTGATTTTTATTTTGTAGTTTTGTGACATTTTGTTCTGTTGACCTTTCTGTAGACGCCTCAGATACAGGTTGATGGATTGTGAGCAGATCTCAGCTGATGTGATGCACACTGTTTTGGAGATGACGCACAAAAAAGACAACGGAAGGAAACTAAAGTTTGCATGTGGGCTGCAGTTTTTAACACAAGATCTCACTGATGTTCACTTGTTGAGTTTAGGGGAATTGTGTCAGTGTGTTTGAGATGGAAGAAAAACAACATTCGGAAACGCATGACTTAGCAATTCCAATTAGCTAGCATTGCTGTGGATGGTTTATAATTCAAATCATGCTTTCAAGGTATAAGTTGGATTAGTGAGGTCATCTGTAAAAGCCTTGAAGCTAGCACAATCTATGATGGCAACATTTACACTTTAAGTCATGTTTACACATTAATCTGCTCAGAATCTCTTTATGCAACCTTTAACATCTGATGGAAACTTGGTTTAATATTCTAAATCAGTCCAAGCAACCTTTTTGTGTATATTGTGTATGTTTAGTATCATGTGTAATGTATCAATGACACCAGCGGGGAAAATGGACGCACCATCCCAATTCCTAAAAAGTTGGGACGCAGCGTAAAATGTTTTTGTAAACCTCATAAACCCAAAGTTTATTCACCGAGAAGCTCAGAGAGACCGTTTCTAAGAAGTAAAATTGTGAAGGCTGTGAATATCTCCTCATCTATGATGCATAATATCATCAAAATAATCAGAGAATTGGGAGAAATCAGTGTGTGCAGGGTCGGTTCTGCCTATGAACACAACTCACCGTGCCATCTGCGCGGGACGGCAGGTTAAAGCTCTATCGTGCAAACAAGAAGCCGTATGGGAACGTGATCCAGAAACGCCGCCGTCTCTCGTAGCTGATTAAAATTGGACTGAGGCAACGTGAAAAACTGTTCTGAGGTCAGACGAACTGAAATGTGAAATTCTATTTGGAAATCATGGATGCTACGGCCTCTGGACTAAAGAGCAGAGGGAACATCTGGCTTGTTATCAGCACTCAGTTCAGAAACCTGCATCTCTGATGGTATTACATATGCTTCCATCCAGACGACAACTTTTCCAGGGAAGGCCTTCCTATTCCCGCAGCACAGCTCCTTGGATAGAGTCCAAGTGCTGAAGTGGCAGCCTGCAGTCCGGACGTACACCAACTGAAAATCGCTTCTCGCCTGCTGCACATGCCGTCCATCTGAGGATTAGTGATTAGTTTTAAGTCCCGCTCGAGCCAAACCTCTCAGACTGTGATCAGTCAGCATACCTGTAAAGCCACTGACCTGCAACAGACGTCTTTCCCAGGATTTCCAAGCTGGTCTGTGTGCACTGAGAAAGGAACTGAGGAAACTTACCTGCCTGTCCACCCGCCACCGCTCCTCCCGTCCCTCCGAGGATGTCAGGATAGTCTAACCACTCCTCTGCTCTGGCTCTGACAGAGTCTTCTCTCCTTTGTTGACAAAACAGCCGCCTGAATCACCGTCCTGTGATTCATCAGCCTCAGGTCCTGCTGCCTTTTAAACCTTGTGTAAATACACTTGTTAAACAGCTCTGTCGGTTGCTGGGTTGTGAATGCAGAGTCCAGAACTTCAGAGTCTCCTTTGACTTGTGACAGCTGGTCTCCTGAGTTCCCAGATGTTTATGGACTCATGATGCGTGCATGTGGGAATGCACGGCCTGTCCCAGGATCCTGAGATGGACTACTGTCATCAAATTCAAAATGAGCATTTATTTTTCTTAAAATTAGATATTTTGTCAATTCTATTGTGAACATAATCTGATATTATGAAAATCCATGTGTTCTGTTTTATTTGACATTTTTTGGAGGTGGAGTTGTTGATGAAGGATCAGGGACCATGCTGCTCCTCCTGGTTTTCATTACATCTGCACATTGTGTTTCCGTCTCGTCTCCTATACCATGAGCTTGTTCCTTCCAGCAGAGGATTATTAAAGCCTTTATTAAAGTGCAGCACCACTTTAATAAAGTTCCTGATCCGTGACCGGCATTTGAAATGAAGCACTGAGAGCTTATTTGGTCTCTTTCCTGCATATCAAGTAATGAAAAAGCCTTTAACTCAAAACATTAGTTTAATGTTTAGTTTGATCTTGAAAATGGAAAACAAAACATTTCAGAAGTAAAGCATAATCTAATGAAAAAGCAGTTCTCTGAAAAAAGACCAGCTTCATTGTGAATTGACTTTTACTGCTGCTTATTTGTGGAAATGCTCCATTTCTCAGATAACTCATTTTTTTACTCCACTGACTGTTTTTTGCATACAAAGTTTTTTTTCTCTTAGATTTGTTTTTCATAGTGCAAAGGATCCACATTTCTTTATTTTTTACACTTCTTTTTCAGCACCATCCTTCTTCATTTGAATAAAGCTGACATTTGTTTCCTTTAAAGCAGGGGTGGGGGCCATTTCATTTTTTACAAAGTACCGTGTTACTAAGCCTCATGAGGTTTCATGGCTATTAATGCACTCACCACAAAACTTGCACATGTTATTCTCTGTCTGTCTGTGGTCGTGTGAGAGCTGCTTGTTAAGGACTCAAACTCTGGGGAAGAGCGTTAACGTTGAGCTCTCAGCTCATCATGTTTAGCATGTTTTGAACTGTAATGGCGCCGCGCCACAAACTGGGCACAGCTTGCCTTTCACTTAAACAAAGAAAAAAATCAGGTGTCCATCTTTCCTGGAACACGCAGCATTCTGAATCCACCTTCATTTTCATGACAGCTGCCAGGATTCATCCTTTGTTGTCAATCACGTAATAACGTACATCATGTGCTGTATTCAATTCAATTCAATTTTATTTATATAGCGCCAAATCACAACAAAAGTTGCCTGAAGGCGCTTCATAGGTACAGAGAAAACCCAACAATCATATGACCCCCCTATGAACAAGCACTATGGTGACAGTGGGAAGGAAAAACTCCCTTTTAACAGGAAGAAACCTCCGGCAGAACCAGGCTCAGGGAGGGGCGGGGCCATCTGCTGCGACCGGTTGGGGTGAGAGAAGGAAAACAGGATAAAAACATGCAGACAGAGATTAATAACAGATATGATTCAATGCAGAGAGGTCTATTAACACATAGTGAGTGAGAAAGGTGACTGGAAAGGAAAAACTCAATGCATCATGGGAATCCCCGGCAGCCTACGTCTATTGCAGCATAACTAAGGGAGGATTCAGGGTCACCTGGTCCAGCCCTAACTATATGCTTTAGCAAAAAGGAAAGTTTTAAGCCTAATCTTGAAAGTAGAGATAGTGTCTGTCTCCTGAATCCAAACTGGAAGCTGGTTCCACAGAAGAGGGGCCTGAAAACTGAAGGCTCTGCCTCCCATTCTACTTTTAAATACTCTAGGAACAACAAGTAGGCCGACGAGAGACCAGAGTGCTCACTAGGTTTTAGAATCGCTGCACTGGCTCCCCGTGTGTTTCAGGATCGATTTTAAAGTTCTTTTATTGGTTTTTAAATGTCTTAATGGTCTTGGGCCTTCTTATCTCTCAGATCTGCTTTTACCATATGAACCCTCGCGGACCCTGAGGTCCTCTGGTACTGGCCTTTTGATTGTCCCTAAAGTCAGGACACATGCTCACGGAGAGGCAGCTTTTCAGTGGTATGGTCCTCGTCTGTGGAACAGCCTGCCGGAGGAGCTCAGGGCCGCAGAGAACGTACATGTTTTTAAGAACAGGCTCAAGACCACCTTTTTAATTTAGCTTTTACTTAACGTTTATTTATTTTATGCTTATTTATTCTATCCTGTTATTCTATTTATTATTAATTTAGGTTTTACCTAATATTTATTGATTTTATTCTTATTCATTTTTTAATCTTCTTACTCTATTTATATTCATATTGTATCTTATTTATTTTATCCCCATTGATCTTTTATCCTGTATATACCTATTCTAGTCAGTATCTCCCAGTGTTTCCTCGAGGGCGCTCTCTGCACCGGGGCTTGTGATTGACTGCGTGGCCTGCTGGGTTGGGAGGTCCTTTCCTCAGCCTAGCTGGGGGGCTTTCCTCTTGCCTCCGCCGCAGTGGACATCCTTTTTCAGCCAATGTAGTGCCCAGCTCGGGAGGCTCGGTCTTTGTAACGCGCCTCACCGTGCAGACGGCTCCCTGGTCTTATAGTGTTCCTACACCTTGGCTCATGCGAGCCCAGTCCCATATTTTGGCTACTGCTGCGGGTTTAGTGTGCCGCCTGTTGATGTGGGTGGGGGGGGTTGTAGTGTATTCCATGATCGTTTATGTTAATGAGAGTGTGGGGAGTGAGTTGGAGGGAGGGGGGGGTGGCTGCTTTTAACCATGTAAAGCACTTTGTGCTACATCTTTGTATGAAAAGTGCTTTATAAATAAAGATTGATTGATTGATTAAGATGGGGCCTGATTATTTAAGACCTTGTATGTGAGGAGCAGGATTTTGACTTGGACGTAGATAGCCGTCTGTTTTATCTCAGAAAACTAATGACTGTCAGTGGGTTTTTTTCCCATATTTTTTTATTCATGCTATAAGTTACATATATAAAATATATGCATGTTATTGCTTTGCGGTCCGATTGAAACGGTCTCACACGCGGCCCGGAGGCCGGACGTTCCCCACCCCTACTTTAATCTGTGTTAAATTCTGCTGTGTTGTCAGATTGTGTTGCTCATTGCTTTCAGTAAGAAGTTCATGTGATTGTTGGCAGGATTATAAAAAGTTATGGGCAGAGTTCCCTAAAAACGTTACAGGAGACGGGACACATCACGTCAAAATGTCATAAATACATATCAAACTGTAATAATCTGTTGACATTCTTGAGATTTTCTTATTTCAAAGTGATTTCACATCTAGATGTCCTGAAACCAGGAACTGAACTCATCCATTATACGGAGGACTTTCAGCTTGGTGGAGGAGTGCGGCAGTCGAATACAAACATTTGTAGTTTTCGAAATCAGTATTTCCACACGTTCTCTTCTAGTCTTCTTAGAAAACCTTCTTTTATGAGTTTTTATGAGGAAGTGCAAAACTTTAGAAGTAGAGTCACATTTACAGAGACAAACTTTTTGTCAGGCGAGCTGCAGACACAAAGTTCACATCAAGAAAAAACACAGATGAGTGTTTTCTCCCGCTGGGCGGGAGTGGCGGTGGGCGTTTGGCTGTGACGCTGTCACAAATTGAACCTCAGTTATTGGATCGTGACAGATGAGGCTTTGTGCACAAACACATCTCAACCCCTCCATGTTTTATCTGCAGCACAGCTACCGTGAGGTGGGCATCCTGCTGCTCTACCTGGCCGTGGGAGTGTCCGTCTTCTCGGGTATCGCCTACACGGCTGAGTATGAAGAGGTAAAGTTTGACTGACGTGGGGTCGCGTTCCTCACTGGTGGAAATCATTTCACTTTTAGTTTGTGTTCAAATAAATTCTTTGAATTTGCCTTTTAAAAGTTTAACATCTTAGTTTCAGTGATTTCAGTATGAGTCTGTTTGGCGTACGGTTTTACAGCCATCATCAGTTTACAGTTTGAATGTTTCCAAAACTTTCTGAGCAGTTTGAATTCCTCTCAGTATAAATGTCGGAATGCTAACACGGCGATGAACATAGCAAACACTACATTGCGAAATGTTTGGCGGATGCTACGGTATGAAGACGGAAAACATGGCTACACACTTCAACCAACTACTCATTTACTTTGTAACAAACTCTTTGTGTTAATACTCACTCGTGTTCCTCCGGCCAATGAAATCCTTGAGCTGATTTTCATGACATTTGGCTAATTAAAAGGTTTTGGCTCACAGAGTGTTTCACTTTAATTAGTGTCGTTAGACGCTGATAAATCCTTCACAGCGTAATCAAGCTGTTAGCTTTGCTTTGGTCTGTAACAAATAAAAATATCAGTGAGTGAACAGTCGAAGTGGCAGTTTCCTGTTTTTCAGGGATATCTGTGATGTTGGAAGACACCTGTTGGTGTAATTACTAATGATTCAATTCAAAGAGCACATTAGTCCGTGTGGTCAGAGGTTTGTCTTTATCTCTTCCTCTTGAAAATTAGAGCTTCAACTTTGGTATATAAAATCTATCAGAACAAAGTATTTTATTATTTAATTGTGTTCTTTACATAATAATATTAATACATCTGAAAATCATTACCTTGGATGTCTAAAGCATCCCTCTGTGTCTGATTCCAGGATGTGGGCCTGGACACCATCCCGGCCTGCTGGTGGTGGGGGACGGTGAGCATGACCACAGTGGGTTATGGGGACGTAGTGCCGGTCACGGTGGTCGGGAAGTTGGCGGCAAGCGGCTGCATCCTGGGTGGCACCCTGGTGGTGGCGCTGCCCATCACCATCATCTTCAACAAGTTCTCCCACTTCTACCGTCGCCAGAAAGCTCTGGAGGCGTCGGTGAGGAACAACAACGGCAAGAAGATGAGGATGAGCTGCGAGAATGTGCCAGAGGAGGATGAAGAGGACGAGGGGTCAGACGGGGACAGCTGCTGCCTGGACGATGATGATATTGATGATATTGAAGAGGACGATATAGATTATGAGGATGAAGGAGGTGTAATAAACTATAGTTATGTGGAGCATCCATCTTACACGTCGATAACGAGGAAGAAGGAGCCGCATCAGCTGTGATGAAGAGCTGATGAAGAGCTGCTAAAGGCAGGAGATCAAAGCTGTTCAGATTCACTTCCTGCCTCATGCATGACGTGTTCATATGGAAACGATGACTGCATTCATATTTAATCTGGCTTTTATTTAAAACAAGGCAACACAAGAGTGATCTGTACGCTTCAAGTTTGACCTTTGAACTCATCGAGCATAAACAGGAGGACTAAAGTCCAGGAGGGCTGGGATTTGATCAGATTTTGGGGAATTTAAAGAAATCAGGAGTTGGAGGGATCGTGTTGTAAATTGGTTTTAATTATTAGCTTTGGGTTTCCATGACAAACCTACGTGATGGACGGTAGTTTGCTATTATTCGAGCATGTGGGCAGCTTCCAGGGTGGAAATTTGTTCTTTCTGATAATGAAGTTTTTATGTAGCTGTTAAAAAAGATAAAACACCCAAAACAATAAAATTACATAAGGCGAGATTAAACACGAAGGTCTGCTCAAGAACCGAATCAATTGAGCCTTAACTGAGCTGGACTGAAGAGAAATAGCATGCACGTGTATGAAATGAAGCAAATAAAAAGATTATGAAAGTCTGAATTGTTATTTTGTTCTTGAAGTAAAATGTATAAAGATAACATTTGATAAAAATTAATTTGAAGCCTCAGTGGAAGCATTTTTGTAGTTTTCTGCAGGTAGAATAAGAAAAGTTAAGCTATGTTTGGGTTAGCATAAAGACTGGAAAGATGTAAACGCTAGGGTGACCAACCGTCCTCTTTTCCCTGGACATGTCCACTTTTCATGTTCTGTCCTTTTTTTTTTTTTTTGAGATGGATGAAAATGTCCGGGTTTTCCTACAGGCCTACAGAGGACTCATATGTGCAACATCATCCCCGAAATGTGGTGTAAGTGGTTGTTCCCCACGCACAGACGGGACAGAGCGCAGAGCGGTGCGCTGAAAAGATGCCAAAGCGCAAGTGCATCAAGAAATTTCTCTTGTACCATCCCAGTCGGAATAAATGGGAGGCGGAGTGCACTGTGTGCAGAGCTGGCACAGACATTTGTGTGTCTAACAAAGGTGCCAGAGATCTTGTTGCTCACATGGACACAGAAAAACTTAAAAAGGCTGCGCGAGGCAAAAATTCATCTTGTAAGTTGACTGAGTTCTTTGTTACACCTGGGACAACGAGGGTGCTTGTATCTGGAGCAGAAGGTGCACTGACATTTCATACTATGAAGCATCACAATAGCTACACATCCATGGATTGCACTAGTGTGTTGCCAAAAAAAACAAACAAAAAAAACATTTCCAGACTTTAACACAGCTAAAAAAGTTCAGCAGTGCCGCACCAAGACTGAAGCTATTGTCTCTCTTGAAGCTATGAAATCCAGTATGGTGACATTTCTCAGACTTAAGTAACCATGGAACAGAGAAAATATTCCCAATTTGACTGGACGAATGGTGGCGTGCAAACAAAGTTAACTGAGGTTAGAAACGCCAATTTTTTAAAATTTATTTATTTATTTTTTTGCACTTGTTGACTTGTAAAAGCCTTTATGACATCTTTTATTTCACCATTCATTAACCGCACAGAGAAGGCATCTTTTAAATATGTTAAAATTTTCTTTAAACAAACAGTATTATTAAAATTCTTCATAACTGGGCCAAGTGTCCTCTGTTTTGGAAATCAAAATATGGTCACTCTAGTAAATGCAGTTAGCCCACATGTGTCAAAATCAGTGTGACTGACTGACCTACAGCTTTACTGAGTGTAACGAGAGGCCGGTGTGCGCCGTGTCACTGTTATGTTGCTGAGGGTTGTGTTTTAACCCAAACCGTGATCTTTAATAAACCTAATCAGCGACTGAAAGAAGCGCAACCAAGTCCCAAATGACTCGGACCTCTCAGGTTCTAACAGACTTTGTAAACTATCTCTCAAACTGGGCCGTTATTTTGTCACATTCGGTTTAAAAAGACACTCAAGCCAAAGGTCACCTTATGATTAACAGTGAGATGCAGGCAGCATCTGAAAAACCAGAATTATCTCTGAGAACTGACTGAAAAATCTCACTGAGGTGTAAAAACCTGAATTGAACACAGATTTTGAGTGTGCTATAATAAACATGGTTGTGGATGTTTATAAAAATCCTTCCAGACGTTTCAGACTGGCTCAAAAAGGTGCACGAGACCCTCTCTGTGAGGAAACACTAACCAGACAGATGACGCTTCAGTTCATCTCCTGGAGGGTGATGAGATGCAACGTTTAGGCTCTGACTCAGGACAGCAGGTGAGCTGAAAACCGTAAAATCATAATCTGTTGCACAGAAGAGCAAATGCATGAAACTCAAGAGTAAATCATTTAAATTTGGGTCATATTCTGAAGATGAATAAAGATATACTGCATCTTACAGTATTTATAGATTCCTACAGGCCTGTTTCAGTTTAGTTTGTTTAGTCATCACTTTGTGAAACGTCAAACACTTTGTACTCGTAAATGAACCAAACCTGTCAAACTGTCACTAAAAGTCAGTTCTGACGCTGCTGAGAGCATCAAACTCAGCATTCACCTGAGCTAATGTCTCTTTCTTTTTAATTCTACTGAGTCCTTTTCATGTCCATCTACTTTTTACACTCAGTTTATATTCAGTGTCCGTTGGGCACTTTGCTCTCTCCCTCTCTTCCTTTTGTTTTCTTTGTCATCATATCAAATGCAAATCAAATGTCCTTTAAAACTTGTCAAAGTCAAACAGAAGATAAAAAGGCACGTGTTGAAGAGAGAAAGGAAACATGAAGTGCTGCATTTATTAAAGCACTAAAGATGTTTCTTAAAATGGAGACAACAAGTTAATAAAAAAGGGAAAATCTGAAAGAGAGCGAAGGAAAACAACAGAAACATTAAACTCATCAAAGAACAAAGTTAAAGACAAGACATTTAATGAGGTGAAAAGATACTTTCACAATAAAAAACAGCAAATGAAGGATAACCAAAACTCTTAAACACGACAGCATGAGCCTCGGTGCATATTTCTTTTATAGTTTTATGTAGCAGACGGTGGACGACAACACTGTTCTGGCTCTGGACTAACTTTTGAACTTCTAACTTAAGAAGCTGTTAACAGAAGAACTGGTTTAATATTTAGTTATATTCTAGTTCCAGTTCACTCACCTCTGGTTTACTTACTATAACAACTTTCTTTCTGAGAGGACTGAAACCGTTAAGACGTCTTAATGAGAATCGGATTTGGGTGAACTGGCCCTTTAAATGTCACCTCTCTGCCAAAGCTTCGTTCTGAAAGACAAGCAGGGTGAAATTTCCGCAGGATGAACGACATTAAGATTGTTCTGCAGCTTAGCTTGAGTTTCACATAATGGATGCTTGTGTTGGACGAGTCTCCGGGCAGGATTCCTTCCAGAGCTGATGATCCACAGTTTGAAGCTGTGCCACGTCGAGTTGGGGCTGAACGCTGTTGTCTGTTTGAAAACGTGGAGAGAAACTGAGAAAGGTTTTTGTCATCATTTGAAAAAGCCTTGGCACAATGTTTCTCAGCCTTTTCAGCATGATGAGTGTGTGTTCAGGACTTTGGAAGAAAAAGTAACGGATGAACTGTAAAGTTTCAACAGGAAACAATTAAGGGATTAAGGGAACAATCAGTCAGAGCAGTTAAGCATCAAGGACATCTCTCTGTCCAGTTAGGAAGCAAAAACTACTCCGACTCCACTTCAGCTGCTTTGGATCAAAGTGGCATCAGGAGCCCTGGAGAGGCTGGACTCCTTTAAACCAGCACAGGTAGTCCAGCTCCTCTAGGACAGCACGACCATTCAGGTGCCGTCAGGGTTTGTCAGTCTCAGAGAGAGACATCCAGTTCATTTAGTTCAATTCAATTTTAATCATGTGGCTCCCAATCACAGCAACAGTCAGACAAAGGTGGCTTATCCAGTCAACCCCCGGAATTTGTGGGGGTTGTGTTCCTAGAGCCCCTACGTTCCTGGATGTGGTGAATGAAAAGGCCATGAATGCCTATTTCTATAGTTTGAACCCTAAATATGCAGGTGGGCAGCATCTTAGAGCTTTAAGAAGAGCAAAAAGCACAAGAACACTCAGCAACATGCAGCAGGTTGGGGGCAAGGCTCTACAGTGGGGGGGCAGTTGCCCCCTCTTGCTCCCCAGTAGATCTGCCCCAGTGCTGGATGCTCTTTCTAGGAAAACTCACTCTCTCTCTCTCTCTCTCTCTCTCTCTCTCACACACACACACACACACACACACACACACACACACACACACACACACACACACACACAGAGTTTGTTTTATTTTTGTCGGGACAAACAGCACATCTGCAGACAGACTGAAGGAGAGAGAGATCAGATTCGTGACCGGCTGATTAAAAATTCATTTCTGCTATTTTGGCTGACAGTCAAAAGTCTGAACAAGGAGAGGAAACAAGAAAAGGGGGGACGAGGCGTGCCTAAAAAGTTTGGGTGTTTGTGATGGATCTGATAGGACACGAGAAAACTTTCAGAAAGTGCAGAAGGCAGTGAGAGTCCTGCAGCCAAAGCTGATGATGAAGGCAGAGCATGACTGTGCAAACTGGAACATCAGTTATTTCATCAGATATAAAATCCAGTATGGAAATACTGACAGACAGTCGCATGGCAGAAACAGTGTACATTTAGCCACGTAGAGTCAAGACGACCTGCTGAAGCTCCAACTGAGCAGCAGGTCTGAGTAGTTCAGAAACTGCTGATTACAGGGAATGGTTAAAAAAAAAAGAGCAAATATCCAGTGAGCAGAAACTGTGTTAATGTTTGATGTCAGAGTAACTCAGTAACTCAAATAACTCATTTATCCTGCAACATTCAGATGGTACGCTCATGCAAACATGAAAGCAAAGACCCATCGTGCCTCTTATCAGAGGTTCAGGCTGCTGGTGGGGTGATGTTGGGCATATTTTCTCAGCACACTTTGGGTCCCTTAATACCAACTAAGAGTTGTTTAAACACAGCAGCCTACCTGTGAATCGCTGCTGACTAGAACCACGTGATAGCTGCTTTCAGCAGGATCACAAGTGTCCCAAAGCTCAGATTATCTCAGACTGGTTTCTTGAATAGGACGATGACTTCCCTGCAGTCCGGTGACCTCAACAGTCTCAAGATCTCCGTCCAGTCGAGCACGTTTGGGATGTGCTGCAACAGGAGAGTTACATGAAGGATGCAGCTGAAAAATCTGCAGTTACTTTGTGACGCTGTCATTTCAACATGGACCAAAATCTTTGAGAAGTGTTCTTTATATTTAATCTCTGCCATGAAGAATTGAAGCAGTTCTGAAGGAAAAATGGGGTCCAGCCTGTTACTGCCAAGGTGTACCTAATGAAGCGTCTGCTGCGTGTTTACAGTTACATTTGATTTAATTGGAACTTTAATAAGAATCTATATGTACAAAAGTAAAAGCAGCATCTTTTATTGCTTTAGTTTTTTATTTTCTTTGTTAGACAAGCAAACAACAAAAAACCCACAAAGGACACAAACCAACCAAACACCAGTGATCTCAAACACAAGCTGACTTTAAGGCCGACGCCAACAGGAAGCAAACTCAGATCCTGACATGCTCAAGCAGATTTATACAAAAGGCAGAGACACAAGACGGCAGAAAGATTTTCACTTAGATTAACTGCTAAAATAAAAAGTCTAATCTGGAGTTGCTGAACTAAAGCAACATTTCATGTTTTTCTCTGGTTTTCTTTGTTTTGTTCGTTTGTTCACTTTTTTCCAGGAATCCAATTCTGGTCTTTATTTGACCCAAAAAATGTTTGTGCTTGAATATTGAGTGAAATTAAACAGCTAGTTATATAAAACCAGCACGAAACAAAACGTTAAAGAAAGAAATGTTCACAAAACAAATGTAGAGATTAAAGAGAGCCTCATTTTGAGTGTATGGATTTATCCATGAATCACTCGTTGAGTAAACTGACGTGCTGCTCAGTTTTGTTTTTTTTAAACTCAAGCATGTAAATTATATTAAATCAAAGTAAAAACTCAACAGTCTCAAGGTTGAAGAAGTTTGGCTGTACCAAAAATAAACCTGCAAATGCTTTCTGATGTTTGTTGTGGTTTCCATATTCAGCAGTTTATGAAGAATGAGTCAAAGGTTGGAAAATCAAAGAAGCATTTAAAAGTGTCTCTGTTACATTAAAGAAAAAAAGAAAAAGAGGTTGTCTGGTCTCCAGTGACTTCGACTTAATTTCAGGCAGCAACAAGCAGCTCATGCAAATAATTCAACAACAATCAGGCGCCATTATTTTAAATATGTGTCCCCTTTTTCTGAACGTCGAGGGATCAAAACCAGTTTTTATATTCTGACAGCCCCACAGTGGATCCACAGTTGGTAGGACAAGGCAGAAAAAGCTTTGCCTGTAACACAGCAGGAAATGAATTGTGCTCATGAGTCATCATCTTACAGAGAAACACAGGAGACACCAACCAGCTTAAAGGGGCAGTTCAAACAAACTCACAGGTTCTTCCTCCGGCCTGCACTGATATCCATCCACCTTTATCAGTTTGGTCTCAGACATGCCTACAGCTGCTTATTACTGCAAAGTAACAGGCTGATAAAACACGAGCATGTCAATGACTGTAACCACAGCACAGACCTGATGGATGATCTGCATCACAAAAAGGCTCAAAAACAGTGTGAACACAGAGAAATGATCCAAATTAGCTGAGCTGTAGACAGACAACGGTCAGCCACAGCTTCCCAAGGTGGACAATTCGAATTTCAAGCCACAATCAAATCTAAACAGACATAAAGGAAAAGTGAACCCACTGTACAGTTCTTATGAAGGATGAAAACAGCCACAGAGGGCAGAAACATTTCTGCAGCAGGCTGTTAACATGTTTATTTCTGCTATGATGCCGTGGACCGAAAGGAAACTGGCCATGTGACTAAAACATGGCTGGTGGATAAAGAGCACCGCAGGCCACAGGAAAATGTGCACATTGTGGATTTGAACCACCCGTTAAATACAGCATTGTGTGATGAAATCCAGCTGAAGGGTTTCCCTCTGAAAGCAGCCGTTCTCACATTTTTTCTAAAGTCCTGTTTTTGACACTGAACTTTTCAGCTGAATGAATCAAAATATACACATGCAGCCGAGTGTTGCTCATATATACAGACGTGACCGTGTATGAAGGAACTCTGAACCATCTACAGCGTTTTCTAATTGGTTCTGCCATTATTTCACAGCCCTGAGGAGTTTTTATGACCTGAGAAGCTCATTTTCATCCGGACACACACACACAAACCGTCACCTCGCCGACTGACTCCGTCACCGCTAAACCTACGTATAAAAATATAAACCGTCCCTTATTTTCTCTTGTGCTGGACCTCCTAAAGGAATGTCAGAAGTTAAGTCTTCTTGGCACTTTTTCAGGAGCGGCCTCGTCGAGTCCGCTGTGCCAGATCAAACCCGGGGGGATAAAAGCTTTGTTGAATCTGCTCCATAAATCTGTCAAACCAGGTCTGTTTTTTTCTAGCTTATTTTAGGAGAGATAAAGAAAAAAAACTGGATCTGAAATGAAAATCCAAACAATAAGAAGGGCACTGGTGGTTAAACAAAAAGGCAAATGTGCTCATATTTCACATTTTGGTGCAATCAAAAATCAGAACATCAAAATCCAGAAGTTTTAGGATCCCAAACTTCATGTTTTACTTACAAACCATCATCTGTGCTTTCAAAAATGACTTTGTGGAGAGATGGAACAGTTGGCAAGTAAACGGATATAAGAAAGATGAGATCTTCTCGTCTATCGTCCACTGTCAAACATTTATAAGGAGACATTAATAAATGGTTCCTAACACACTGCAAGTGCCCACGATACGCTCATTTACAGTTTCATCGTTTCATTTTGCAGCAGACTACGTCTACATGTTTAATGTTAAAGAATGCAGGATTTTCCTCACAGGCTTCACTGATACAGAACCTCTGGCCCTGCTGTGATTGGTCACCTGTCTCTGCTGTGATTGGTCACTTGGCTAATCGAGAATAAGGCACTGTCAGAGAACGTCTTTGTAGGGAGTCGTGCTGAGACGATCCAAAATGAAGGAGACTTCATTGAGCTGCAGCCAAAAATGTAAAATTTGCAGGGTCAACATTTTTGATAGACGGGCAGGAGAGTGTATATAATTCTACTTTCTCTCTCCAAATATTTTTAAAACAAGCTCAGCTGAAGTAAAATACCTTTTTGTAAGTATTAGAGACGTGACAGGAGCGTGCACCACGAGTACAGCAGCTTTGATTTCACTCATGAAGCGAGCAGGAGAGAGTTTTAGATACAGTCGCCTTCAATCACAGCCGGCTTCTGTTTGTGCTGTGGTTCAACCACACTGCTCTGGGAACGGGCATAGTCGAGGGGGCCGCCCTGACCAATCAGCACGTTTTAGCACAATGCGAATATTTTAACTCGAAAGAAAAAAAAAATCTGCTTCACTGGAAGAAAAATTAAATGGCCTGAGTGTAATTTTATTTTATCAAAAAACAAACACAAAAAAAGTAAAATGAAGGATTTTGTGTGTAGAGCACAATCATTTTAGCCCCCGAGCTCCACACACTCCACTTCACTCAGGAAAATCTGTCTACTGCCCCCTGCTGGATTTTAGGGAGTTTCTCTACAACGAGTTTCGCTTCAGTTTAGCGAGAACAGTGAGCGAAGTTCATCTGAGGACGAGTCAAACCAGCGGCCAGGCGGCCACTGTGCCCGCGCTACACTCAGAGACCCACTCAAACAAAGGAAACGTATAAAAAAATAAAAAGGGCACTTCATTTAGTCTGCATGTCGACAACAATAACTCCTCCTGTGCTGTAATGACAGGATACTGATGACGTACTGTAATACTGGAGTTATGAATGTCGACACAAACTGGAAACACTTGAAAATGTCTTTTAACTCCTAATTTACAGTGTGTTAGAAACATTTACTAAATATTGACATAGTTCTACAGATTTGTAATTTCATGTAGCCAGATTTCTTTTTTCTTTTCTTTTTGATCATCTCAACATGTCAGATTCATCTTCTGACCCACAAGCCGACAGACAACCGAAACCCAACCGAACAAACCAATCAGAGAGCAGAATCATCACCTGTGAACTGTAAACACTCCTCATTAACTGGCCCAAGAGCTGAGATGACGATCGCATAATCTTATAAATATATAAAACTGGAAAAAAGTGAAATGATGTGCTCTACAAAGCAAAGAATACGTCTGGTTCACGAACCACACTCTGCACTAACTGATCCCATTTTTCTGTCTTCTTTACTGAAGTAATTCTGCAGGCTGGCTTCATGCTGCAGCTGCAGGAGTGAGAGAAATGTGCTTCAGCCCACAGAAGATCAAAGACAAAAGAAAAGATCTAGTAACAGTTTGGTCCCCGGCACAAACACAAAGTCCGATATAATGAGTAGGACTTCAATGTAACACCAAGTTATGAAATGTAGAAAACAGAAACGCAGGGACATGTACCAGATTAGAGAGTTTCCTCAAGCAGCTTTGAAAGAAACCTTAGCTTTGGAGTTCAGAGCAAACTGTGTGGAAACACAGAATATGTGCAGCATCTCTCAGATGACCAGTCGAGTGGAAGAGGAGAAAAACTGGTTATCTCCTCTGCTTTTAGCTGTGAATTCAAATTCAATGATTTGTTGTCTTTTAGAGATCTTTGGAAAAGCAGACGTGCCGACAGAACCCAGTTTTATCCACTGTCCATGTTACCTTTTTGTGCATTTTTCAAGAATGAAGATTCATCCTGTTCTATAAAACACCTCGCTGTCAGATGCAGAAACCTAGAAAAGCTCAGCAGCTTCACCAACAATGATGGCAAGAAGTTAAGTAACAGACGAGTACCGAAGTTTAACAGTCAGCAGTTCAAATGATGATGTACCACATGATTACAGACAGGACCTGACGGTCTCCAGGTACGTTCACCTGTTCACCTCCTTAAAGCAACTGTGTGCAAGCTTGAAATAAGCAGAAAGAAACTCGAGTCCAAAACTGCTGCTGATGATACTGAAATGAAAAGAAATGCCACAAACAGAAGGATCATGGATCTCAAGCAGACAAAAATAAATGTCAATGATATTCAGCTGAACAGCTTTTCTACAGTTTTTCTTAGACAAAGGTCCAAAAACTCAGCAGGCAGACGTCAAACCGATAATCCTCACTCCCCAAACGTCACATCACGCAGAAACTCCAGCAGCCTCGGTGACGTTCCTCCAAACTGCTGCGGGAAACGTGAGAGAAATCCTTCAGAACTTCTCAGAAGTTCGGCTGCCTTCGTTTTTTGGCCTCGATGGCGTCGAGGATGGGCTGCCTCTTGGCCTGGTAGCGCTGGCGGATCTCCTCGATCTCCTGCTCCATCTGAGGGTCCAGAGAGGCGAGCTTCAGCCGCAGATCCTCCACCGACCACGTGCTTACCTAGAGGAGAACACATTGAACTATGTTAAGGTTGCTGTGCTTATTCATCAGCATCGAGGACCTCGGGTGTGTGAGACGGAAAGTCGGGGCACCTCATTAAGAGCAAACATTTATTTTCCCTGAGTTTGACGAGCGTTGACTTTCAGGCTCCTCTCATGTGGAACCAGCTCACAGTTTGGCTTCAGACTCCCTCCCTGCTCTCACCTCTCTGCTTTAAATTATAGTTACGAGAAACACAAAGTTTTCTGAACACTGAACGTTTGTCATGAGTGAACTCTCACGGTCAGCTTTTGATACACACAACGCGTCACAACAACATTTGAAGCAGGATTTGATGACTTGAGGGTCAAAGATCAAAGCGGACGCAGTCCATTAGTGGACGCTGACAAAAACCTTTACCGCGCCCTCAAAGTACGTCACACATGACAGCAATAACCAAAGTGTCTGATGAAAGTATCTATTTTAGCAGCTTTCAAAGGATGAATCTATTGACTTGTATTCAATCCCTCCTCTCTCGGTTGCCGGCCTCAGACAGGGACCTGGTGCTTGCTTTAGCTTTTCCCCAGGGGATTCCCCCTCTCAGCTTTTACCAGCAGCACAACGCTCTCAGGCTATTTATTACCCAGAATCAATAGAGCTAAAATAACGCCGCCGTTTGAGTCCACTAGACAGATAACCGTGAACAAGGGAAGGTCCTACAACTGGACTCCAAAAAAGGGCCAAAAGCTCACATCAACATTTGCTGCTGATATGTCCAGTTTATTCAATATATCTACAGTAATCAATCATGAGTATTGCTTACAGGAATCATCCAACTAAAGCATTTAAAAATGGGACAAGACCTTCTTTGATTTATGGACTCATCAATGAAGAAGTAAAATTAACCCAACAGACCAACAAATATATTTTTTATGTCAGAAGCATTTTAACTTTTGGACAAGGCAGCTTAATTATTAAACTAGCCAATAAATTCTTAATCGGTTATTAAACTAGCCAATAAAAAAAAATACTCACTTATTAAATAAATGATGAAGTGCATCAAAGCAGCAACGCGAGGTTTTAACTGGAAGTGAAAGTGTGCTTCACCTAAACACAGACGCACATCACACCTGTGCACCTGCTGCTGTTATTAACAGAAGCATCGCTCGGCTCCTCCCATCACAATCCTCAACACTGAAAGCTGCTTCGACTCCAGCGGTCGGTGCGCTCGACTTCACAGCCGACTGAATTCATTCAAACTTCAACACAAACTAAAACTTTGACGACTTCTTCAGTTAAACCAATAAAATCACCTGATGCACTTTGACACATTTGACACAGCACACTCTTGACTTTGTTGTAAATTTCGATGCCGGGTTTAGGGAGGAGTCCCCCTTTAAGGATGCGGTCATTAAAATGAAAATATGAATTATCCATAATGTTGTTATGAGCGCATTCTTTTCAGCTGCAGCTGTGATGCATTATTTTGTTGAGCAAACAACTACAAAAAAACACACTTTGGTTATGAAATATTTAGCACCTGAGCTAACTGCTTACAAACCGTCTGCTCTCTCGGCTTTTCCACAGCACGCTGCATAATTTGACCAAAAACACAGAGCCGCCCTCTAAAGGGAACGACATCAAAGCACTCGGTGGCTGTACAAGAAGAATGGGGGTGGGCTTTCCCTCTCCACCTATCCTTATCAAACCGAAGGGTATTTAAGGCTGCTGTGTGTATCTGTAGTTTTCATATTTTGCTGTAGTGGTAAACCCACAGCTGAACTCTCCCTTTTCAGCTCATCTCAGCACTTTTCTGCCATTTTAATTCCCTTTCATGCAGAAACAGTTCTGTGAGATCTCAGCAGCCAAACACGAGTTTGCAAAAACAGTGGAGCATTCAGCGGCTGAAGAGCTAAAGGATTTCACTGTGTTGTTGGCTGCAGATACAAAGCTGCTCATCTGTTCTGACATTGTTGCAGCTCGTCCTGCCAGCTCAGAGCTTTCTATGAGTACACAACTTCTTAAGTGTGCGCAGACAACAAACGGGGCTTTGCTTGTAGAAATGGATGTACCGTCACAAGAACTAAAGATTCCATTTCAAACAAACTTCAGTGCAGCTTTAAGAGCAATCAGGCTCACCAACAGCACTATTCTCTCATCTGTTTCAAACTGTTCTAAGCAGGACAGCGTTATAGAGTCAGTCTGCTCAGGAGCAACCAGAAAGAGCACACTGCCCCATCAAGTGTTTCCTCACTTCTTCACTCCGGGACAGATTTTTGTTCGATTCACATCCAAATATGAAATAAACAATATGAAAAAGCAGAACAGCTGATTACTGGTAATAATGTAACTCAGTGTTGTAGTTCACCACAGAACTAATGTAAGAGTGTTACCAGATTACTTATTCTCAGTAAAGCATTATTTGCATGATTTTTTAAGTAAGGATTAATTTGCGTTACATTACTTCTCTTGAGTAATGACTGAAACTATAGAAATGATCAGCTGTGTCAAAAACCTGCGGCAAATCCAGAAAACGAGCAGCACATCAGGATGCTTTTCACTCCCTTTCTTTAAAGCTGTATTTACACTTTAACAGCAGCATTTCATCTGCTGGGTTCTCTAAATGGGGCTAATTATCACAATCATTAATTAAAGATTGCAAAACAACCCAAAACAAAACAGAACTTCGATATCTCCGTGGGATCCTGATATGGGTCAGAGTAAAATTCAAAGCAAAAGTTGTTCTGCTAGTTCATCAGGCCCTGCAGAAGCACCAGGCTCCAACTGCTCTGGCCCAACCCCCAGGCCACGGACCGATACCAGTCCGTGAGTCGTTTGGTACCGGGCTGCGAGAGTTGAGGCTCGGGTGTGAAATTTATGGTTTTCAGGGTTTTTATCGTTAACTCTGTTTCCCTGGGTCTTTTTCCGTGTTGCAGTTGTGTCTTATTTTGAAAGAAATATTGATGTGTTACCATAGCGACCAGAGAGCATTAAGGGGCAGAGAGGAGGATGTTACTCTCAGTGTTGTTGGCGCAATTTCAAGAGGACGCTGCTAATAAAGTTACACAATTACACATGTTTCTGAATTTATGTTTATTTTTATATTTACAAAATGCCAAATACCAGTTTTTGTCTTGGTCGTATCATTTTATTTTGTTCTATTTATCCACGACACCTTAAAGGCCGGTCCGTGGGGACCGCTGCTCTAGGGTTCTCTGAGCCTCGATCACACAGAGGTCAAAAGTTGAGCCATAGACTCAGAGTAGCTGAAGCGAGCCTTCTGTTCAATAGCTGCTTTCACTCCAGACATAAAGACTCAAACAGGAACCTCTGGAAACAAATCCATGTTCATTAAAGCAGTGGAGAACGTCTGATTTTCAGTTAAAGTACACAAATTTTTAACAATGAGCGCCTGCTGGCTCTGGCTGTACTCAGACATTCAGACGTGTTCCCACCAAGTCTGACTCCCTCTTGAACTATGAAACGCATGACGGCTCCCTGGAAGAGGTTTTGAACCCTTTATGCAAACTTTCCATACATCCACAAGCTAAAGCTAGGGTACTCCTAGTGCTGGTGTAAGACACGGATAAATGGGAGGGTGGTGTCAAGAATGACTAAATTAAATGGGTTAACAATAACTGTTCCCAGTGCTGATCACCAGCAGGGTGTTTGAGGAAACTGCTACTGGCTGAAGGTGGAGGAGGCGGGGGAAGGCACAAAGGAGGGACAACCTACTGAAGGAGATACAGAAGCCTGGTGTGACAGAGGATGAGGATGCTAGGGAAAGGTAATAAAGAAAAGTTGAAAGATAATGTCTGCTGAGATTATAAGATGAGTCACTAAAGCAGGGTGGGGGAACTCCAGGCCTCAAGGGCCAGAGTCCTGAAGGTTTTAGGTATCACCCTGGGTCAGCACACACGAATCACATGAGTAGTTCATTACCAGGCCTCCGGGGAACTTCAGGACATGTTGAGGAGGTCCTTTAGCCATTTAAATCAGCGGACACCTCAAAAACCTGCAGGGCACCGGCCCCTGAGGCCTGGAGTTCCCCCACCACTGCACTGAAGCCGCCATCAGGAAAGCAAACAAACTCCAGTGGTCTGTGTGTGTGTGTGTGTGTGTGTGTGTGTGTGTGTGTGTGTGTGTGTGTGTGTGTGTGTGTGTGTGTGTGTGTGTGTTGGCGTGTTGGCATGTCTCTTGAAGTTTAACAGTTACGTTTTGACAGATCATGTGACAGATGAGGGCTCATTAGACAGTGACTGGTTTCAACCTGCATCTGCTGACCGTCTGTCAGCCAAGAACATGGACTCCTTTACATCTGAAGAGGAGAGAGAGAGAGAGATGGAGCGAGATAGAGAGAGAGAGCGAGAGAGCGAGAGAGAGAGAGAGAGAGAGAGAGAGAGAGAGAGAGAGAGAGATAGAGAGAGAGAGCGAGATAGAGAGAGAGAGAGAGATAGAGAGAGAGAGAGAGAGAGAGAGAGAGAGAGAGAGAGAGAGAGAGAGAGAGAGAGAATGGAAAAAAGCAGCAGGAGGGATGAAAAAAAGAAACCAATAAGTGAAGAACAAAAATAGACGGGAATGAAAACAGAGAAAAAGAGAAAGCGCCGGGTGGTGCGCGGGGAAGGTTGTTCTGCGTCTTCTCATGAATAATGCAGGTTAGTGCTTTCCTCCATATGTTCTTATGCTGCATTGTCACACTACTAAGGAGGCTGGAGCTAAAACCACAGCTCAAATGGTAAATATTAATGCAGGACAGCTATATATAGACCTTAAAATCCTATACAAGATGATGACACACCTTAAAATAAAGGTGAAAGGCGATTTATGCAAACACCTCTGCCATGTACGATGGGGACACTATTAGCAAGGGTCTACAGAGACGAGAGTGAAAGAGCAACCCTGCGCGGGAAGAAATAAACCTCAAAAAGATTTTAAAAAGCACATGTATAAATCACAAACTGCTGGAGTTTTCAACGGGCCTACATGACTGTCCCGGGTAAGAGCATTAAAAAAAACATCTGATAGCAAAATACAAAAATAGAAGAGCCGACATATCTAAAATTAAACACAGTCAGCATGCGGCTGTCAACAAGCTGTCTCAGTGTATTAGAGATCCAAAAAGAAATTAGCTTTTTATCCTCACATTTGAAAGTCTAATGGAACAATAAATCCCCCCGAGTGGGATTGGAGTCTTCGAGTAAAGCCGACTTGATTTTCCCCTAAACGCTGCAGAAACAGCTTTACTTCTGCTGCCATCAGGTCGTCTCTGTACACACAGAGGTTCAGTGCTAATTGTCAGTATGTTCATGCACCGCAGACACAGAAATACTCAGATCCTCTGTGCTACAAAACACAAGACAAGTTCAACCTGTGAAAATGTCAGTATTAGTAAAACCTGCGTTTATCCTCCGTGCTGTTGTAGTTATACTGAAACTAAACTGAAAAGTCTTGAAAAGATCATTTAGATCACTAAAATACAAAGATTACACTTTGAATAAACAGTATGGTGTAATAACAAAACTAACTGAAAGAAACAAATCAATCTGCTCCTCTATCAATTTAAAGTCCTGCGTTGCCACTGCTTGCATCCACACTCTGATTCATTTGGTCACCACCTGCTGCTCGTGGTCATAATGAGGGCAGCACCTCATTACCAACCCCGAGTGAGCTCTCCACCTTTAAACTGGCTGATGATAACAAACACATTTAAAACAATGCAAACCACAAAGAGCAAAACCCCCCTAGAACCTAACAGGAACTTCTATATGTCCAGTTATGAGCCAGCTGCTCTACACTTCCTGTAAATGTGCAGGTCCTGTTCCTCAGTGTTTTGGGGAGCATTTCAGCTCAACGCAGTCTCTGATCAAACAGTGTAGACAGGAAGCCTCTGTCATGTACTTCCTCTTGTCTATAAATGCATGCTGCTTATATTCCTGCGTGTTCGAGTGCAGATGTAAATGTTTAAGCCAACTCGTCTCCCTCGAACACACAATCCAAAACTTTTTCAAGTCACTGAGAGACGATCTTCTAACTGAACGTGTGCCTGACAAGCATCAAACCTGACAGCATGTAGGCGTCACAGCCACGAGCGACACACCTCTCTGTGATGATCCTCTGTGTGTGTGTGTGTGTGTGTGTGAGTGAGTGTGACTGTGTGTTTCTTCCCTCTTTCCTACATCGAGCAGTTACAATATTAAAGATCCCGGAGAACAAGAGGGAAAATCAGGGTCAACCAGCGGGGAGCCGTCACTGTCTGTTAGTGTACCGACTTCAAACGCACAGTTGCACACATATAAGTGCATTCAACACACACACACACACACACACACACACACACACACACACACACACACACACACACACACACACACA